GAGACTTTTTTATACCAAAAATATCTTGAGAGACTGTCATAGTGGGCCACGCTCACCAGACATAGCTGGTGTAAATGTCACATTCTGCACTTATGTTCATAAAATCTGCTGCAGAAAACCAGGGTATAGTAGACAGCATTGGGCACCATTGGATAGTTTGGGTCCTGGCAGAAGAGTCTGTAGTTTTAGCCGACTGAGCTCAGAATAAATCAACATCATCAGGTGGCTTCCAGAAATACAAAAACAACTGTGGGTATGTTAAAAGCACACAGGGTGGGACCAGCAGTTAGTGTAATGGCTATGTCACTGGACTCCCACGTAGTCGACCGTGGTTTGAGTCCCAGACCCAGTGGCTTAAAACACGCCGGGTGTGTGTGCGTGTGTGCCCAAGATTCCGGGAGGAGAATGGAGGAGAGGGGATTGCGGCATGGTCACCCCCCGGGGAGTGATTTCTCGCTTTCTCTTTCTCTGTCTCTCTCTGTCTGGTGAGTGCTCGTGCCCTATAGCGAAAACCTCTCAAAAAAATAAAATAAATAAAGCACACAGGACATCACACGAGGGATGCGTTCTGGGGAATGTGCTACACCGAGGGGTTGTGACAGAGTGAGCTCTAAGCCGAGAGCAGCAGGGCCTGAAACCATCCCCTCCACAGAGTGGCCGAAGGAGTGAGGAACGATGGGCCTGCAAGAGGGGAAGACGTGAGGGGAGATTAGGGAAAGGGCAGTCTGAGAGGTCCTAGCAGTGAAGGGAAAGCCGCAAGAAACAGAGTTCAACTTGATCCAAGACAGTGTTTCCCAAGCCTTTTCCAAAAAACTCTAGTTCCACATGTTACTAGGTAAAAGGATCTCCTGGTCAAAAATCTGGAGAAACTCTGCTAAATAAAGTTAAACGGGTTTCAGGCAGGACCTTGTAGAACCTTTGGTAAGCTAATGTGCATCGGTAACCAACGTGTGTGTGTTTGGCAATTCTCAAACACATTTGGCAAGGGAATCTTTTTTTTTTTTGCATGAAGATGGAGCACAGACATTTTAGAAGTTTTGTTCCAGGGACCAGAGCCTCCTAAGGTAGGATGGGTGGCCTTGGGAAGCAGTAGGAGATGCGTTAGGAGATGATTGGGCCTTTTGGGGAAATGGAGGTACAGGGCGCCCTCTTGGGCTACGTGTCGACTCTCTCTGACTTGGGGTGCCTGTGCCAGCCCGCCAAGAGCACTTGCTTCCCTGTAGATCGCCTGGCTGATGCAAATCACCCTGGGTACCACAGCCACTGAGACCCTGAGCGTGGCTGGAAACATCTTCGTGAGCCAGGTGAGTCCTGCCACCTCCCGCCCTCATGTTCACTTGCAGCTTCCCCAAACAGGGTGGGCGCCCTGGGTCCCTGGAGCTCGGATTCCATCTCAGGAGAAGCTGTCTCAACTTTCTCCTGAGGTCACCCACGTCGGCTGCCCTGGGGATGCTCCGTTTTGGGGTTCTACTCTCTTTGCCTGGATCATGCCACGGAGGACGTCAGCCGTCTGACACCTCCTGTCACTCTAGCTCTGGGCTGTCTTTACCAGCTTAGAGACTTGCAAATCCTACAGATGGGCTCCGTGTTTCTTGTTCTGTTCAGAGGGAAGCTGGGGTGCAGGGACTGGGAATGACTTGATCGAGATCCTACAAGTCTAGGCTAGGATTTAGAATCCAGGCTTTCTCCTTCCTGATCAGGGTTCTTTCCAGTACAGCTTTCCCCTCCCTTCTTTCCAAAAACGTATTTTCTTTTCTTTTCTTTTTTTTTTTTTTTGAGAGTTTTTTTGCTATAGTCATGAGCGCTCTCCAGAAAGACAGAGGGAGACAGAGAGACAGAAAATGAGAAATCAACCCCCAGCAGAGGGGTGGCCAGGTCGTAATCCCTTCTCCTCCATTCTCCTCTCGGGATCTTGGGCACGCACGCACACATGCCTAGCATGAGTTTAAGCCACCGGGTCAAGGACTCGAACCTCAGTCGACTACATGGGACTCCAGTGACATAGCCATTATGCCAACTGCTGGTTCCCCTCCCCACATCTCTTCCCGGCACTCCTTTGCACCCCCTAAGCAGGGGACAGGGTATAGGGGTGGTGCCCACTCACTCCTGCCCTGCTCAGCTGATCTTTCTTATGTGTAGACCGAGGCGCCTCTGCTGATCCGGCCCTACCTGGTAGACATGACACTCTCTGAGGTCCACGTCGTCATGACTGGAGGCTACGCCACCATCGCCGGCAGCCTGCTGGGTGCCTACATCTCCTTCGGGGTAGGTGGAGTCTTCCCTCTGTTCGGCTGTGCCGAAGACCTGACACCCACCTCTGTGGGAGCCCCTCACAGCTCCTGACCAGGGCTGCACTGGGATCTTCTCTCTTGTATGTGAAGCCCACCACTGTGCTGTGAGAGGTCTTCCTCTGGGCAAGGCAGGACTGGGGGCATCTCACAGAGCCATGGTGGGTTGGGAGGAGAGTTCCTGAGCGTTCCACTTACTGAGCGCCTGCTACGTACAAGACCGTGTGCTGGGTGTTTTCGAATCTCCATTTTACAGGTGAGGAACGTGAGGCTCAAAAGCCAGGATCTGAGCTCAGGTCTGCTCATGTCTCCACAGCCCTGCCCCGAGGCTGTGTCCAGGCATCTGTCCTACTCCTTTCCCCCTCCTTCCCCCCACATGCTCTCGGAGCTCAAGGCTTTCCTCTGCTCCTAAATGTACGTGCATCTTACTGACCATGATGTGTTTCTCCACACTGTCCAATTTCAGAGCCGCGATCCAAACCTTTAAAAACAACCATTGTTGGGGGACCAGCAGTTAGCGTAATGGCTATGTCGCTGGACTCCCACGTAGTCGACCATGGTTCGCGTCCCGGACCTGGGAGGAGAGTGGAAGAGAAGGGATTGCGGTGTGGCCATCCCCCCTGGGGGGGTGATTTCTCGCTTTCTGTCTGTCTGTCTGTCTGTCTGGTGAGCGCACACGCCCTATAGCAAAAGAAAACAAAAACCCTCTCCAAAAATAAAAATAAAAAAAAACACAACCATTGTTGGGACCAGTAGATGGCGTAATGGTTATGTACTTGGACCCCCACGTGGTCGACTGTGGTTTGAGTCTTGGATCTGGTGACTTAAAGCTTAGGCCGAGGGGCATGTGTGCGCATGCCCAAGATCCCTAGAGGAGAATGGAGGAGAAGGGATTGTGGCATGGCCATCCCTCCTGGAGGATGATTTCTTGCTATCTGTCTCTCCAGCGGGGACATGCACTCTAATACTCATTTTCCTGAGTCTCCACAACATGAGCCGAGGTAGCCAGGATCAGCCATGTTCACAACCTCTGGTTTGGAAGCCCCAGGCTGCAACCACAGCTGTCACAAGGAAAAAGCACCTAACAGACCTTCCTTTGCTCCTTCCAGCCTCTGGTTCATCCTCTAGTCTCCAGAGAAAGCTCTCTTCTGCCCCCACCAGGCTCTCAGCTGCCAGTGCACCACCCCAGGGCTTTCTCCCAGGCCCAGCTCCTCCCAGTGCCTCTGGCTCCACCCTCATCCCTTGAATTCCTCCAGCTCTCTCCTCCAAGCTCCCAGATTGTCTTTGTTCTATTTTTTTTTTTTTTTTTTAGGTTTTTGGTATAAGGCATGTGCACTCCCTAGAGAGAAACAGAAACGAAGAGGGGGAAAATGAGGAATCACCCCCTGGAGGATGGCTATGCCACATTCCCTTCTCTTCCATTCTCTTCTTGGGATTTTAGGCACACACACACTGGCCCTGCATGATTTTCTTTTCGTGTTTTTGTTTTTTTTTAATTTTTTGAAGAATGATTTTATTTAACTTTAACTTACTTATTTTAAAGTTTTACCAGAGAAGGACAGAGTCAGAGAGAGAGAGAGACAGAGAGAGAGAGAAAGTGAGAAAGCAAGCTGCCAGGTCTGGGACTTGAACCGTGGCTGACCATGTGAGAGTGTCCAGCATCTTAACCACCACGCCACCTGCTGGTCCCCCATCTTCTTTTTATACATGGTTTTAGAGTTGTTTTTCCCTATACTTGTGGTTATAATCTCTATGCAATTTTGTGGGCACTTTCCCTTGAGAACCAGTTTTCTATGGCAGCCAGAAAATCCTTAGCCATTCCCGCACTGGGAGATGGTAGTGGGAGAAAAGAAGTATCTCATCTATCCTGTGGAGAAAGACAGGGAAGCAAAGGGTTTGGGCTACAGTGTTTGGGCCACAGTGATGATCAAATCCCGGAAGGGAGATCCAGGGGCCATGGTTGCTCCTCCATCTTGCTGGGAAGAACTTTTATGGTGTTGCTCTCAGGGCCAAAGGGCAGCCATTAGAGACAGACTGCCTGAGAAAGTTTCCTAACTGCAGGAGTGGTGTGCTGGCCTTCCCTGAAGGGAGGAGTTCCCTCGCCAGGTTTATTAGGGGAACATCTGTACAGAAGCAAGCCTTTTTTTTTTTTTTTTTGCTATAGGGTGCGTGCACTCGCCAGACAGAGAGAGAGAGACAGCGAGAAATCATCCCCCAGGGGGGATGGTCACACCGCAATCCCTTCTCCTCCATTCTCCTCTCGAGATCTTGGCCACACATGCACACGCGCCCGGCATGAGTTTTAAGCCACCGGGTCCGGTACGCGAACTGCGGTTGGCTACATGGGAGTCCAGCGACATAGCCATTACGCTAACTGCTGGCCCCACAGAAGCAAGTCTTAAGCAGGACGTGTAGCCTTTGCATGTCTGTGGAGCAGTGTTCTGTACCTCCAGACAGCACTCTGTGGTTTGCGCAGACCACGGGCTATGGTACGTGCACACGGGCTTGTCATGACCGACGACTGGGAACGAGCTGCTTCAAAGCACAGGTTAATAGCTGTATTTACCAGACCAGGATCCGGGAACGGGTCCGACGAGCCCTGGCAGGCAGCCCAGCTTAGTGAAGCAACACAGTGGTCAGGTGGGCGGGTTAGCACACAGGAGGGACTCACCCTGGCTCCGCGCAGCTAGTGCATAGCCTGCACTCAGGTTAAACTGGGATACCGCGTAGATCCATCCCAATTCTCAGACTCTGGAGTTTTGTCTGAAGCCATCGCAAACCCCTCAGGTGGTCAAAGGGAGACAGCCTAAAAGGGAAAAGGGAATTGAACTTGGAGCCACGAAATGTGATAGGCTCTCGTTCCCCTTCTTCGACTTGAGCAAGTCATGTTGAATCCTCTGGGGCCTCAGTTTTCTTTTCTGTAAAAGGGGGTAATAATACTTGCCCTGCCTAACTCTCAGAGGTACTGGGGAGAGTTGAGAGGTCCTGTCCATATAGCCTGTCACCCTCTACTCACGAAAGGTCTTGGGACCAGCAGTTAGCGTAATGGCTATGTTGCTGGATTCCCATGTAGTCGACTGTGGTTCGAATCCCAGACCCAGTGGCTTAAATTCACGCCAGGCACGAGTGTGTGTGACCAAGATCCCGAGAGGAGAATGGAGGAGAGGGATTGCGGCGTGGCCATCCCCCTGGGGGGGTGACTTCTCGCTTTCTGTCTCTCTGTCTCTCTCTGTCTTTCCAGCGAGCGCACACGCCCTATAGCAAAAACCTCTCCGAAAAAGAAAGATCTTACCATCAGTCCTAATGGTAAGAGCAGCAGTGCCGATGACGACGTCAGTGGGGCAGGGTATACACGTCCTCCTGCCACCGCAGGTTTGGCCCTGCCATCTCCTCCGACCATCCTCCTGTAACCCTCACTCTGAATCTTGCAGATCGATGCTGCCTCGTTGATCGCTGCCTCCGTGATGGCCGCCCCTTGTGCGTTGGCCCTCTCCAAGCTCGCGTACCCGGAAGTGGAGGAGTCCAAGTTTAAGAGTGAAGAAGGAGTGAAACTGACCTACGGGTGAGCTCAGCTGGAGGGCCTGCATGGGGGGCAGTGTGCAGCGTGCAGCGTGCAGCGTGTGGGAGGGGAGTAAATTAGAGCAGATCCCATTCTCTCTGCTCCTCACTGCCTCCCACCAGCCCAGCCAACCTCTCCTCTTTGCCTGCCCTCCGGAGGGTTCACTTGCAAGCGCACAGACTCCAGTTCTTACATCTCAATTTCCAGACTCTGACCAGCAGGAGGCAGTAGACTGGTCATGGAATGGGAGTAAGGCCTGGTTCTGAGGTGTGGCCTGGTATGTGCGTGTTGAGGAGGGTCATAGAAAAGGCTTCGGCAGGTGATACAGAGGCTAGGGTGCGGATCCCTCACGGCCGACTAAGCGGTTCAATTCCTGAGCCTGGTAACTTGAAAAACACACCAGGCATATGTGCATATATGCCCAAAATCCTGAGCGGAGAATGGAGGAAAAGGGATTACAGCATGGCTACCCCCAGGGGGTGGTTTCTCAGTTTTCCTCTCTCACTCTGTCTCTAGGGAATACATGCACCCTATAGCAAAAAGGCAAGAAAGAAATATGTAATTTTAAAATATTTTATTTAACCCTCCAAAACATTCATTTTAATATGTAATCAATATAAAAATTATTAACGAGAGGGTGTACATTTTTAAATAGTAAATCCCCACAAGCTGATGTGTATTTCAGTTACAGCACAACTTAGTTCTAGACAGCCTCCCTTTAGGTAGACGAAAGCCACAGGTGGCTGCTGTCTTGGACACCTCCATGTGAGAGTTCCCAATCTTCAGCTTCACCTTCTGCCTCTGGACTGCGACAGGAGATGAGGACCCTCCAGAGTGCTCTGTCCAAGGTTTCTCTTTGAGCCTATGCATGGAAACCCTTGATGTTTGTGGGGACAGGCCAATAACAATTGCTCTTGATCCCAACCACAGAGATGCCCAGAACCTGGTAGAAGCAGCCAGCAGTGGGGCCTCCATCTCTGTGAGGGTTGTAGCCAACATTGCTGCCAACCTCATTGCCTTCCTGGCTCTGCTGGCCTTCATCAACGCTGCCCTCTCCTGGCTGGGCGACCTGGTGGACATCCAAGGGCTCAGCTTCCAGGTCTGAGTCCGGCTGCCCGTCTCAACCTGGGGAGGAGATGGCCTTGGGTGGGGTAGGCAGTAGGTGGGCACCCAGCCCTCGGGCCTCACTGCTTTTCTGGCTCTCTTCTGGCCCTCAGCTCATCTGCTCCTACGTCCTGAGGCCCGTGGCCTTCTTGATTGGTGTGGCCTGGGAGGACTGCCCAGTGGTGGCCGAGCTGCTGGGGATCAAGTTATTTCTGAATGAGTTTGTGGCCTATCAGGAACTCTCCAAGTATAAGCAGCGCCGCCTGGCGGGGGCTGAGGAGTGGGTCGGCGCCAGGAAGCAGTGGATCTCGGTGAGTGTCTCAGTCCCCACCCTGCAGCAGGGTGGCGCGGCTCTTCCTGAGGTCTCCTGGCAGCAGCTCTCTTGGCTCCCTGGCCTGGCTGAGACACACTGAGATGGCCTTAACCTCCCACATCCTGCTGTCCTGGGAGATAGGACAGCTTCAGGCTTCACTGCCATTTTTCTCGAGGCTCATCGAAGTGTTTGAGATACTCTGAAACCCAGGCTCTCACTGGGCCACCATTTGCTGTGAGTTAGCTGCTGCACTTTGCCTCGTCTGTTGGGAGATGGGTGTGTAACACTTGCCAGGTTCACCCCAGAAGAATATCTGTGAGCATCCAGTGAGCTCAGAGGGTGAGTGAGACAGCAGCACCTCACTCCATATCCTTTGCAGATAAATTGGATTTTGTTCAGAAGCTAGCTCTTTCTGTTAAAATTTATTTTTTAAAACTATGAAGGGCCAGCCCCATAGTTCAGCAGTTAAATGCCATGCAAAAGAAGGTGGATTGCATGTAGCCGGCCAGGGTTCTGAGGCCCAGCCTGTTGCTGCATATGGGGTGGACGATTGGAGTAAGAAGGCCCTGTTGGGGGTGCTTTCTCTTGCTTTCTCAATCTCTCTCTGTTGCGTACATGTACATGCCCCTTCTGGCATAAAAACAAAATTTTGTAAAAAGTCATACAAGCTCTTTTAAAATTAACATTCTATTTTTTTAAAGTGTTTATCCCTCACCCCTTTTAAAAATCAGAGGATGTATGTACTCACTATATATATATAGAGAGAAAGCGCCTCGCACTGGGACGTGGTCACATCATATTCCTTTCTCCCCATTCCTTATTTCTGTCAGGACTTTGGGCATGCATGTGCATCTGGTGTGTTTTCTTTTTTTTTTTTTTTTAAGATACTGGAGCCAGGATTCAGACCACAGTCAGCCATGTGGCATCGGACTACAGGGCTGGTCCCCAAAAGTAACCTTTCTAGAAGAATACAAGTGCTAGCAACAGTACTGATAATGAATAAATTGTCTTTATTCTTACAATCCTAAAATAACAGCTGTTGTTCTTTCATACTTTTTTAAAAAAGTTTTTTATTTATCTCTTTCATAAGAGAGAGAGAAAGAAAGACAGTACCCCACCGGGATCCCCACACCACAGTGCAGTCTACCCCCAGCCTCAGCTGGCCTGGATCATGCTCATGCGCACCTCCTCGATTACATCCCTTCTGTGACCTCAATTTGCTCCTTTCCAAAATGAGAGTAATTATACTGCCTTGTAACTACAATAGTTATTTATATAACAGTTTCTAAAAAACAGTTTCCTATATTTTCTATCACTTTCTACTTAAAGTATTAATATTTATTTGCTTTAATAATCTAGAGTTAATTTTGTATATGGTGGGAGGAATAGATCTAAACTTTTTTTTTTTTCCCCAAACCATCTTGGCTCCCAACACCTTCTTTCCAGGAGATTAAACAGCTGTTTAGAGTGGAGAGCTTCCTTCTCTACATTTTTACTTCAGTGTTGTTGGTCCTGTGGCCTAGTGGTTAAGGGAGTCACATCCCACAGAGCTGGTCTTGATTTGGGTCCTGGCCCCAGTGGCTTGATAAACACATGTGTGTGCACATGGCCTAAATCCCAGCAGGGTGGGGAGGGTGCTTTCTCCCTTTCCCTTTCTCTCTTTTTCTGTTTCCAGAGAGTACATGTGCCCACTGCCAGTTTAAATAAATAAATACCTACTGTATGCCTGGCATCTCTCCTGTTGTCTGACCTCACGCCAGCCCTGCCAGGCATGTGCTATTATTCCTACAGTCCGGATGGAGAAACTCAAAGAGGTCGTTGACTTGCTCAAGCTGATGATAGCTGGGGACAAGCCTAGAAGCCAGGCTGCATGAGCTACAAGTCCCTTATTCTGCCCTGCAAGCCACACTTCCTCCACTCTCAGCACGATAGCACCTCGGGGCTCGTAGCCTGAGAGTGTGCACGGTAACCAGAAGCACCCTGGCATGGAGCTTAGTAGGGCCACAGTGAGACTGAGCAAAGCTGTGTCATGTCCAGAAAGGCTGATAATGAAGATAAGGGGGTTGGAGATGGATGAGAGAGGGGACTCTGTTTCTGAGGTGGTGCAGTTTGAGCTCCTAGAAGTGGTGTGTGCCCCTGGGAAGGGCGAGCACAGAAGGATGAAAGGACACATAGGCAGACACCTGGAGTCTGGGTGTCATGGGGGTGCTCCCACCTCCCAAAGAGAGCTCCTCCTCATTCATCTTCTGTATTTTCAGGTCAGAGCCGAAATCCTCACGACCTTTGCTCTCTGTGGGTTTGCCAACCTCAGCTCCATTGGGATCATGCTGGGAGGCCTGAGTGAGTCCTCCAGGGGCCTCCCCACCATCCTGGCGAGTCAGGGATCAGCACGTGGGTGTCAGTTACCCCCTTTATCTAAAGCAAAGTTGAACAATATGGCCTGCAGGTCCTTCCCCGCCCAGAATGCCATGCTGCTCTGTGGCCGGGAGTGGCCATGGGGTTCTACCTTGGGGAGGGATGGGAGGATCAGCGCTGTCTCGTCCCTGAAGCTAGGCCCGCCTGTTTCCCTCACAACAAACAGGCAGGCTTGGTGGGGCCTA